TGGATACCGTTCGCATATGCATGACATCCATCAGTGCTCACTGGCCATAGTGCTACCCTGCTGAAATAGAAATACTAAAACTAACGTTTAGGAGTGCATTTTTGTGAAAGGTACCAAATTTTGCATTCACCAACGCCCGGATTTTTTTCGAAAACTCACTGGTTTTTTGTGATAAAAAGCTGTTCTGTGAAGGGATGTGTGTAGCAAAATGCTGCAGCTTTTCCCGTGCTAGCCCTGAATCTGGTTGTGTTCGGTTATGTATGTTGCAATGTTTTCTTGAAATGCGTGTTGTTTTTTTTTTATGAAGCTTATTAGTAAAGAAATGAACATGATTAATTCCTTTGTGTTTTTTCTTCACATTTTTTATGCAGATGCAAAAACACTTTTTTGTGAGATTCAGTGTATGTTTGTTGGTATATATGTGTGTGTATGGAGGTGTGTTTATATTTATAATGTGTGTGCGGGTGTTTATGTTTCTGTGTGTTTATGTGTACGCGTATGTGTCGATGTTTCTGTATGCACTTCTGTTTATGTTTGTGCGTCTGCCGCTCATTTTCAAATGCAAATCTATCACATTTGGAGCGTGTACTCTAATTTAATTCCCATTGGCAGATTTTAGTTCCCTTTGTCAAAAAAAATATTTGTTCGCACCAAACGTCTGGTGGGCTGCGCTAATGAATTTACGCCTGATTCGATTCTATCAATAGGGAAATCAGCCTCTTCAAAGCACATTTGTTCATTTCGATGTTAAACTGGTATTCATGCGAAGTTGAACCGCCCTCAGAATATTTCTAATGCAATCCTTTGAATACAAAAACACCAACAATCCTGCCAGAAAATGATTACTACAAGCAGCGTGTTAAAGCTCTGGCTGCTTTTGGAGTCTGATCTTCCTAAAGAAGATGAAATGTGGAAATAATTTCGACTTCTGGTGTGTACAGAAATCAGTAATTATTGTATAATTTTTGTAATCAAAAGGTACAAAAAACACTGAAATTGCAATTTAACCGTTAACTGGTAATAACTTTGGGAGACGAAACGAACGCTAAGATCGCTAGCAGGCTAACTATCAGGCGACAACCAGCGTTGGTTAGGATAATTTGGAAAGTTGCCAGCCCGATGTTTTGAGAGACAGTAATCAACTGCAACTGGAAAAAATTTTTTTTTGGGATAAGATGAATTTGACCAGAAGATACTGGAGTATGTAGAGAATGAAGTTATGCTCTATCTGTAGCAGCTAAAATCAGTTTGAATGCGATTTCGCTGAGCCTGAACGCAAGGTTTTCTGGGAACTAAGGGAAAGAGAAAAAATATTTTTGCAGAAGGAAAGCGAGCTTGATCCGAATGACTTCAGACATGGATACACCTTCCAAATCATGGATATTCATATTTGGGGAGCAAGAGGCTGGAAAGTTACTTTCTTTAACTGCTTTCTTACAGTTTAGAATCCAAAACGAATTTTCTTTTTTCAAACTTGATTTTCATCAAAAAAGTACAGATGCTCTTGAAATAGCGCAAAAGATTTTTAAACTT